TAGTTTGTTAAGAATATTTATGTAATTGCGAATGTAATTCCAAAATCTTAATAAAGTACTAGCGTGACTGCTTAAGGGAAAAAAAAAAAAAAAAAAAAAAAAAAATATAAAACAAAAAGTGAATATAATAAATAAATAAAAGAAAATAAGGAAATCAATAAAAAGAAATTAATAAAAACTAATAAAAAATAAATAAAATAAATAATTAATAAAGCAAAAAAGTAATAATTAAGAAGTTGAATATATTTAAATTAAAGTCTAAAGCCTATTCTATAAGCAAATGTGATGCCTATAAATACATGTTTTCTTATTATATAATACATATTATAATTCACTTTTTTAAAGCCAACAGTATGTTTTTCTAATTCTACTTCTCTTATAAAAGAAATACTATTACAATTTTATTAGAAGATAAAAATAATACTATGGAATAAACATGGGTTTTCTAAGGTTGAGCAATAAGATTCATAAGATAGAGTGATGTGATTAGTAAAAAAAATTAGATTATTTACATGAAGAGGTAATAGGAATATAACACAAAAAAATTAAACATTAACAGTGATATATGCTAAAATCTGTTCACTATAATGAATTTAAAAGAATACATAAAAGTAATTGCTCAATTAATCTGCTGTTATAAGTATGTTTCATCTAATAAAGCTCTATAAAAATAGTAAATAACTATTTTATAAGCTTGTTATTTCTAAAATTAAAAGAATTGATTAATTAATATATTGTTAAAGATCTAAAACAAATAGTTACAATAGTCATAGCTTAATGTTTTGAAAATATTATATACTGAAGTCCATTTACTGACAAAACATTTAAATTTAAAAGAATGTATAAAAGTAATTGTTTAATTAATTCATTATTGCAAGGATGTTTCATCTAATAAAGCTTTATGAAAATAAAAATAACTATTTTACAAGTTTGTTATCTCTAAAATTATAATTATTAAAAAAAAAACCCCCCAATTAATCAATACATTATTAAAAATATAAAACAAATGATTGCAATAACTATATTTTAATAGTTTGAAAATATTATAGCTAAAATCTGTTTAATGAATTTGAAAAAATGTGTAAAAGTGATTGTTTAATTATTCTAAAGTCCATTTATCTAACAAAAAATGTTTTAAAATTTGAAAAGTATAAAAATATAAATAGATCTCATTATTTGAGACATCAATTTTTTTTAATTAAACATAATAAATAGAATAAAATTACTTAGTTTCAAAAATGGCAAATCCTGAGTTTGTTTCTTATATAGACTTTGAAGAAGGCAGTGCCTTCAAAGTAAATAATAAAGAGACTTTTACTCTTGATCAAATTAATTTTAAAAATGCTTGAACATTGCTTAATAATAATAATAAAAGTGAATTAAATAATAATATTGATGAAAATGAAGCAAATAATAATAATGAAAATAAAAAAATTGATTGAGATAAGACTGAACCAGAAGATTCTAACTTATATAAAAGAGATATAACAATTCCAGAACCTTTTTGCAAAGGTTAACACTGTGTATAGTTATAGATATTATTCAAGGTAAGATAAAATACTATAATAATACAAAAAATTTATGCCAACTAAAACAAATGATAGGAATATAGAAATAGATATAGACACAGTTAAAGATGCTAAAAAAAAATATAGTAATTTTTCAACAAATCTATACTAACTAAGACAAATAATAGATATAGATACAGATAAAGTGAATTATCTTTCTTGACTTAACATATGCTATTCTTATTTTACTTTTGACCAAAATAAACTTCATAAATTAGGCTTAAAAAAATCTCGTATAATCAATTAAAACATTGTTCAATTTTACATTTGTCTATTTTGTAATAGAAAAGTGTTTTTTTAGTCAGAGTAATATTTGTATACAGCATTCATAAAACATCAATAAATGTAATATTCAAGTACCTTGTATTAATATTCTTGATTGTTCTGCAATTATTGAAAAACATATTGCAAAAAAGTCAAATTCAAGTTATCATACTTATTATATATATACTAGATACTTTCAACAATATAAAGGGCATTTATACAAAAGATCAAATAAAAGAATCATGTCATCATCTTGTACTAAGCTAGAAAAACATCATAATGATATAAGTGATGTTTTGAAACTTATTGAAAAATAGTTAATAATGATAGCAGAATCAAAGAATCAAGTAATATAAGAAACTCTTTTATCTCAGATATTCTTAACTATTTTCAGTGATATAACAAACAAAAACATATCTGAACTTTTAAGCAAATTATTTATCAAAACAATAATGAGATTAAAGAACATTAAATTAAATAAATTAATAAAAAAAAGTTTTATATAACTCAAGAAAAGGCTTTAACAATAGAAGAAAGATTAGAAAATAAAATTTTATACTTATGTTCTAAAATTAAAAAAAATATTAGTCAGATAAAAAACCCAAGCTCATATAATAACTATATTAATGCATTATCTAATATTATTTGCAGCTTTTTTCAAGCCTTTCTTACAGTACTACAACAAAATAACTAAAGAGTCATCAATAATAAAAGGCATTAATATAAACTTTCACTAAAATTACTTAATAAAGGCAAATAACAAAACCATTATATTGTTAACTTTCATGTTACTATTGCTTTTTCTAAAGTAAAATTCTGGCTTTTATATATAATGTTATTACTATGCCAAAATCCAAAATTACTGCTATATCTACAAAAAATTCTTTATTTGACATACATTATATTATATACTAAATAATATAAAAATTGTCTAGAAAGGTTAAAGATACAAAATACAGACCCTAAGAAGAACCTACTTGACAAACCAAATATTTGAAATTTAGCAGTAATCAACAATATTGACTTTAAAGCTTTTATATTCTTGTATAGAAATATTTTTAATATTATATAACAAACCTCATATGTGATATTATGAATAGTGTTCAATTTTCTTTTTTTATTTCATCTGAGTATCTAGTTAAAGATTTTGAATTTACCAACTAGCCACTATTTGAAAAGTTATCAACTATCAATAACCTTTTGACAATGTATAAGACTACTCTAAATGCATTGTTAGAAACTTGCATAAATGAATTTGAGATAGAAAATATGCTTACTGAAATTGCCAAGCAAGTACTTGTAGATTGCAATATCCTATCACCAAATATTATTATATTAAAACCTGATAACTTCCCAAATTGTAATGAAAATGTTTATATTATATATAAAATGTATCATGATAACTTATCTTGTGGCAATAACAATTGTCTTTATATAGCATGCAACTAAGCAATTTTTGGAAGATTAATCTTCTACAAGAAGATTTATAGTGATGTTAGACTTCTTTTTGGACAGTAGCACATGTCTAAAGACATATGCTATACTCTAATTATAATATTTTCTAGATACAGAATCTTTAATCTTGTAGCAACTTTTGGTGTATAATATTTAGATAAATTTGAGCTTGTAATAGATTATCAGGCAACAACTCGTGTTTTGAAATTGATTTGAATTGCTGTCATAATTGCATTGTGTCAGTATCTAAAAAGTAAAAAAAACCCTTTGAACTATATTTTGAATAGTAATAATAACTTAGCAAAGGTATAGTATCACTTTTTTTGCTAAACAAGATATTTTATAGCCTATAAAATCATAATTAGAAGAGGAAATTATAGAATGTAGATGGCAAATTTGGCTGCATTTGTACTACTATTTTTAGCAACTGTAAAGTTCAAATATGCAAGTTCTGTAGCATATTTCTTAGCTCAGATTCATGATGATTTATGACTACAAAAATTGTTACAAACAGTTCATTCAGTAAATCTTACAAGTGAAGAACATTATTTTGCCTTTAATGAAGTACTTAAAATTTATAAAGTAAAATTTATTAAGCAAAACATAACAGGTAATCTTGCTAATCAAGAGACTATGATGATAAAAATTAGAGCTGTACAAAATAAGAAAACTCATTTAACAATGCATTTTGCCAAGTATGTTGATGATATAGTAGTAGGCCAAAGTGTTGTGCAGTTAAGTTATACAAAGATTTACTTTGGTCTCTAGCTACAAAGTTATTGTCTGCCTTTGATGATCTAAATATAGCAACCCATTTTCTGTTTGAAGATGCATCAGAAATTAGTGAAAAGAGTATTGAAAATATTATTTCTTTTTATGAAACTAGAATTTCATGTTTTTAACAGATACTTGCACAAGATATATACAAAACTAAATCTTTAACTTTTAAACATCATTTGCTAAGTATAAATACATATACTTATGCTAAACTTGTGAATATAAAAAAGCAAAAAATTAACTAAGTAAACTATCTTATACAAGTTTAAGAAGATGCTTCAACATCATATCAGACATTATCATCTTTTGAAATTAACCTTTTAAAACAGACTCATTGTGCTGCTACAAAAGTAGAAAAAGATATACTTGTTGAATTATTTAAAGTTATAGAAGGGATGCCTGAAGCTGTAATTCCAACAGTTATATTAAAACTTCAAACTATATCTTCAGATTCAGATTAAAGAAAAAGTCAAACAATATTATAAAAATAATTGATGCAAGTATGTTCAAAAATAAAAAAAAAATAGAATTGTTTTATGAAGTTCTCTTGAATTTAGAATTTCAATTTTGAACTCTTATGTAAATCTTGTACTTTACTATTTTTATAAAACCTAAGATTAAAAAAAAAAAATTATTAGTTTATTAAAAAAACTATATATTCAATTTACTTTATATATTTAATATATAATATAATTTGTTATTTATTTCTTCATTATTGTGTTCTGATTCCTTGCTTGATCTATTTAATAAAGCTTTATACATTAGTTGAGTTTATAAAAAAAAAGATAAAAGCATAAATGCTTTTAAAAAATTAGTACTTTAATCAATCTTATTAAAATATATCTCTTAGTAAACTTTAATAAATTATAAGTAACTTATTTTTACTTCAATAATAAGACTTGTAAAGCTTTTATTTGTGTTTGCTAACAGAGCAAAGCTAGTTTTAATCTGCAATATTTAAAAGTAAATCTTGTTATTTAGGTTAAAAACTTGCAATTTTCAGGTCTTATTTTATTTTATATAAAATAAAGTAATAAGTATGTTTTTACTATAAAATGAAAGTTTAAAACTTGAAAAATAAAATTCTCTAAGGTCAAAAAAATATTTATTATTAATTATTTGATTATATCAAAAAAAATCACAATATTACACATTATGCAAAAATTACTATATAAAATCAATGTAATCAATATGTTTTATAACTAATATAGATTTTGTCAAAATTTATTATAAAATTAAAATTCATATTTAATAATATAAAATATAATAATATGTTATATAAATAATTATTATATTAATAAAATAAGCAAAGAAATATTCAAAAATATACTGTATATTGATACTAATCTATATATTTTGTTTTATACTATTTTTTATATTATTTTTCTTTTATTTTTAAATACTCTTTTTATATAAAATTCATACTTTAGTTTTATATTCAATACATATATTTTATTTTATCTTTTATATTTAATATATATATAATATTTTTTTTTTTTAGTGTTAAGATAATTTCTTTGGTTTTTTGATTTTTATTAATAACTTATTAGTAATATGATTCTATAAACTACTACAAAAGAGAGTACAATTGGCTATATATGTAACTTTTTTATATTACTTATTTAAGAAGTTTACTTGAAGGTTTCTTACTAATTATTATATCTAACACTTCTGCTTGGATGTTCTATTTTAAATTTTCTAAATCTGTAATCTGTATTAACTTACTAAGTCATACTCAGATGCCCAGATCATTATCTTAACTTTAAGACTAATTTATTTTTAAGGTAAACCCTCAGAGCCTTCTGTATTTATTTTTATAACTGACTTAGATATTGTTATAACAGAACTAATATTTATGATCAGAGTTATATCATTTAACTGCTATACTCTTATAGAGTTCACACAGATCCTAGCATCTATTTTACAGCATAACTTCAGTACTTTAGTATATCTTTTCTTTTTTATCTGCCATTTTATCAAACTTCTAATTTAAATAGTCTTTGTAGAACTATAACCAGTTTATCAGTATATTAAATCAGTCCTATATCCTTTTCTTTTAGTTTGTTCTAGTAACCTAGTTGGTGGTATCTCTGAAACTTCTAACCAAGAGGTTCTTGCCTGTTTGGCTAATACAACTAGATACTATAATCTTGATATTTATTTCTTTGAATTAGCCTTTACAGTAGTGCTATTAAAAATTTGGCTATCTCTTTATTTGAGTCTTTTCAAATAGATTTCTTGTTACTCAATTTTAACAGATTTACATGACTACAAGAACTTATCTAGTATTTGCATCATCTGATTTGTCAGTTTTTATTCTTCTGTATAACAGATTACACAAATGTTCTATAATCTGTTAGTTATACTAGTGTAACTATCATTATAGATATTCTAATTTAATTATTAGTAATAGTTACTATAATATGAATATTACATATGTGATTATTTAAATTTTTGCTATCAATGAAATTCGAACACTTAACCTACTACTTGAAGAATTGTCAACTTAACTATTTTACTAAGTCACTACACTTTTTATATATCCAATTTTATCTTTGTAATTAATACATATATGTTTTAAAATATTTTGAAAATATATTTATTTTATTTTTTATATTTATATTTTTTCATTTATTTTTAATTTTTTTTTTGATTTTTTTTGATTTTTAATAATTATTTTTAATGTTTTTAATATTTTTTTTATTTATTTTTTTTTTATATCTTTCTTTTTTTTATATTTTTATTTTTTTTATTTTTTATATTTTTTATTTTTTTATTTTTTTTTATTTTTTCTTTAAATACATTGGCAGTATAAGTATTATAATTGAGAATTTTTTTAAAATTATTTACATTAATATAATATATTTTACAAAGTTATCCTTATTTTCAAGGTTCTATAAATAATATAGTTTTTATAGAATACTTAGATAATGATGATATTTAAAATCTTTCAAAATATAGTTTTAGTAATTTTGGTACAAAATATAAGATAAATAGTAATATTTTATAATTGTTATAAAGTATTATATAATAATAATATTTTATATAAAGCAAAAATATATTAACCTCATCTGAATTAACTTCAAATAAGACTTCTTATATAGAAATAAAACATCTTTTAATTGATAATATGATAAAAAATAAATTTATAAATGCACATCTTCTTGTACTATTTCTTGTTATGCAATGCATTCCTTTAGTCATTTTTAGCCTTTTTCAAAATTGCATTTAGTTATGAATCATAATTTCTGTTTTAGTTTCTAATTTTTTGATTGTATTTGTTTCTTTCTATTCTGTTTCTAATCTTGCATTTGTTACCAATTTGTATATCAATTTTGCTGGTATATCAGTTCATCTGTTTTTCTACTTTAGACAGTACTCTATCTCTTTACAACTAACTTTTTTTATTTGTATTACTTTCTCACTTATTTTGTTTTTTTTTGCAAGACTATCAGCTTTGTCATTCTACTTGTTCTTGTTATGACTTTTAACTTTCACTAACTCTATCTGTATACTCTTTGTATTAATAAGATCTATAATTTTCATTATCTATATTGCATTTTTCTTCTTAAAAATTTTCATTCTATTTATTTGCTCTAAACTTCTACTAATATTTCTTATTACAGCATTACTGTCTGTATATATTTCTACTTGTCTTTCTCTTAGTATTGTTAAGATTGCTGCCCATATTGCTACTAACTCTGTTATTGTTGATGTCATTTATCCTTCTAGTCCTAATGATGTTTCTTCTTCTGGTTACTTTTGTGTTTTATTTGTTTGGATCCATCCTATACCCATGTTTCTCAATAAGTTTCTTCTTAGTATTTTTAGAATTTCTTGGTTAACATTCTTATTTAATTTCTGTTACTTGATTATCTCTATTTCTAACTCTTTTATTATTATTGGCCCTTCAAGTTTCTGTTTGCTATCTTTCAGCTTTTCTGTTTTTACTTTTTTTATCAACTAGTTCATTACTATTTTGATCTTGTTATCTCTTTTTTCCATTAATGTGTCAGAGATTACCCTAATTTTGTTATTTATTCTTATACATTGTTGGCAGCTGTCTTCTTTCTGTTTTTCTTCTTCTGTACATCTATCATATTTGCTAATTTCTGTTGCTATCTCATTCTTCTTATTTTGCATTTGCCAATGTTCTAGTAGAACCTTTTTTTTTTTCTTTATTATCTTTTCTAACTATCTATCATCTTGTGCACTATATATTATTCACTCTTTTTTTCTTTTATCTTTTAACATGACCTTCTATTCTGTTTTCATTGCTTAAGTATTATGTCTGTTTGTCTTAAAGTATTCTTTGATTTTCCTATTTTTTGGCCCTTCAAGCACTTTGGACTCTATTTCTTTAAACTATTCTGCTTTTTTGTCTTTACTTGAACATTTACAAAAGTTTTTAAATTGTTACTATATGATCAACTTCTCATCTTTTATATCGAGTAGTTGGTTTAGGTAGATTAGACCTCCTTCATTTATCTCTATTTAATTTTTTTTTCACAAATATGTTTCTAGCAGTTCTTATATTTTAGTACTGTATCCAAATATTCTTTATATGTTATTTTCAGTTTTTATGCTTATTTCTAGCTCTCTTGCTTTTATTACTGTTAGACATACTAAGTTGTTCTTCCAACATACTTTATTAGCTAATATTTCTTCTAATTTCTAAATATTCTCTGTTAAATCTGCTTTTTGACAATCTTGTATTATTCTTAGCTTTGTTAGCTGACCTAGACTAACTTGTTTATTTAATCTTAACAGTAGGCTGCTTACTTGCTTCATTACTAGCTCTTGTTGTAGTGTTCTATATCTACTAAGATCTTTATGTTCTATTATATAATTTTCTAATGTTTTTTGCAAATTGCTTTTTTGCTTTACTAGACATATTATTGGTTAATGTATTTCATATATTTCTTTTTCTAAGATTTTGGTTAACTGAAACATGTAGCTTAGTTTTGAGATTATTATCATATTGTTTATATAAGTAATCTGGCTTGTTGTCATCTTTTTGTATTTAAAGTCTTTTATCATCTGACTAACTATCTCTTTAACTTTTCTTTAACTAATACTTCTCACATTCTGTTGTTTAACCATATTTCTAATAATTGTACAATTTTATTCTTTGGTTCTTCTCTTATATTACTTTTGCCAAAAGTTACTTTTCTTTCTTCTTTTCTAACCTTTGTGTTTATTACTAGCAGCTTTGATTTTAACCTATTAATTTCTATATCATTTATCTTGAAAAACTTCTTGGCTATTTTTAGAATCTTTAATAGCTGGTCTTTGCTGCTTGCAATTCATGTTATATCATTTGCATATGCAATTGCTACTTGGCAAATCTTGTAATATTATTGCTTTATATTCTTTCTTTAATTTGTTGTTCAACTATATATTTTAGACTTTCATCTTCTTGTACTCTTTCTAATAATAAATTATAGAAGAGGCACTATAT